CCCCCCCCCTTCCCTACAAGTGTAAATACAGAAATATAATAGACTGGAATAGAATAATTCTTGACAAGGTATCATCTGCTTTCACGATCCGTTTCTGGTCGGAACTTTTTTTCTCGGCAGACGGCAGACCCTGTCCACGAGCCATCACTCCTCGGCAAACTAAGGCCTCGACCCCCGCCCGTAAGCAGGGACCGTACTTCATACCAGCCTGTATCGAGTCAGCTTTACGTAATAAAGCATCCCAGTAAAGCTGAAATGCAGAAGAATGCGGGGATGTAGAAAACTGTGTTACAGCATTTCAACTTTAACGGCATGCTTTATTTCAATAAAGCATTCCGGTAAAGCTGAAATGCAGAATGCAGAAGAATACGGGGAAGAAGAAAGCGGAAGTCACCATGTTAAAGCATAGCGATATCCGTTTTCTTCTTCCCCGCATTCTTCTGCATTTCAGCTTTACCGGAATGCTTTATTTCGGCATCTTGCTGTGGACAAACATTGAACCTTGACATTTAGAGTGGAAGGTGCGGGGGAAAGGACAAGTGAACAGTACTTTGTCGACTTAAAAGCGTTAAGCGTCCACAACATGATTAGAGGGCCGAAGACCCGTTCTCCTGTAGTTTAAACCACAGTCTAACTCGGGTGTGAACACGGCAGGCGCGTCGCAGCGGAACTGTGTTTCGTGAGCTATAGCAAAGCCTGTTACGTGAGACGTTATCTGGCGTACATCTGCCGTATTAGAGTGAAACTAGTAAGGTAGGAAAAGAGAGAAAACTTTTCGTACTGGTTCCGTGCGATCCCGATTTCACCACTTCTCGGAGACACCCGTCGATAGTGTATTTCGACTAACGGAGGAAGAAGAAGAGCGGGTAGAACATAAACGTTACCGATTGGTCATGAGCTTCCCGCCTCTACGCCACCTCTACGTCACGCCGCTGGTGGGGGTAAGCGCTCGGCCAATCAGGAACCTTTACGTTCTACCCGCTCTTCTTCTTCCTCCGTTAGTCGAAATACACTATAGGGTATAAAGCATTCCGGTAAAGCTGAAATGCAGAAAGAATGCGGGGAAGAAGAAAACGGAAATCGCTATGCTTTAACATGGTGACTTCCGTTTTCTTCTTCCCCGTATTCTTCTGCATTTCATGTGAACACATCAGAAGGGAGTTATTGCCCCCTCGGCTTTACCGGAATGGTTAATAGACTACCTGTCCCGTTCTTGCCAGGGCGAGAGAAGAACAAAAACTCCGGAAATGGCATGAGAAGTTCGTCGCCCGAGAGAGGCGCGTATGCTGATTTTGATCAATTTACGCATTGAGAACCCTTGAGTTCGGTGTTTAAAGTGCATTACGAGTTATTTTATACTACGACAATGCTACACGAGTGATAACAGAAGTCAAAATCGGCGTTCGCGTCTCTTCCGCGCGACGAACTTCTCATACTACTTGCGGAGCTTTTGTTCTTCTCTCGCCCTGGCAGGCACGGGACAGGTAGTCTATAGATGGTTCCGGCAGTGCCGGTTTAAAGAAAAATTCATGAAATCACCACCGGAAACAGTTCTAAAATAATGGCTTAAATAAGTGAAAACTAAAATTGACAGTTACTAGAGATTTAATCGAGGTCATTCAGGTCGAACTGCACTGTCAAATGACAAAAACATGCGCACTTTAGGTACTTGTTCCGGTCCCGACTTCTTCATTTCTTCTCAAAAAGCGCACTGTCGGAACGGTCTATTGCGCACGTCCGTCTCCCTCGCAACCACAGACCTGCACACGATAAGTACGAACAAAACGAAAAGGTCATCGCATTTTACCTCTCCTTGACAAGATCCACAGAGTAACTCAGCTGCGACGAAGAAAAGCACAGCACCCAGAAACTACTCGCACTCGCGTAACCAAAGACCAACGCACGCACGCCGAGCACGACTGCAGCGGCCACCGGCACCGGGACTGGCGACTGGGGACGGTCGACGGTTGGCAGCAGACTGGCGTGGCGCGGCGACCGGCGGAAGCGGGAGGCAGGCGGGAGGAA